ATGATGTTTTGATATATTTTGACGAACTTATCATATTTTGACTAACTTTTCAGAAAATAAAGCTTTCAGTAACCGGACGTTTCTATTAAATTAAAACAACGGTTTTCTAAATTAAGTAAGGACTTTTCACGGTAGCACCCCAAATCAGTTTCGCAAAGTAAAAATGTTTTAGTTTTCAAAGACTTTGCGAATTATTGCGCAACTCTGATTTTACAGTAAGGTGGGGTGTTACAATTGGTATCAGAGCACGTTTCTGCGTCTCTGATAAGTTTTTCAGACAGTAATTTTTCAGAAAAACCCGAACCGTCATGCTCACGCCCCGCCGACGACAGGTAAGTGCTGTTGCAATTCAATTTCAGTTATTATAAACATATTACTTTGTCTATGCTCAGAATTGAGGATCAGAACTTTAGTTAAGATGCTCGAATCAGATTCAGACTTTAGAGGTTGGACATGACTCTAGTATTCAGGCATTCAGATATGACTCTAGACGTTAGGATCTTCCGAGATGACTCTAGAGTTCTTCAGGTTTCACGTCAGTAATTATCGGCCAATTTTGGCAACTCGTCAAGAGATCTGTGTGCCTACTAATTAGTCAGTAAGGCTATCATGTAATATTCATGTAACGCCCCGTTCGTTTATGAACAAATTGGATATTATTATTATTATTATTATTATTATTATTTTTATTATTATTATTATTATGGCATGTCTAAATATTATTATTTGTCTAATTGTGATTAATTGTCTAAATGCTTACATAAATTATGTGCATAATTGAGTATATTAAAAAAATATTATTTGTGGTAATTTGTTTTGAATACTAAATACTATTTTAAATATTTTATTTATTATTATTTTATTTTAAGTCGTCAATCCGAGCCTGTGGTATTTTCGTAAGGGTTAACCGAACTCCCGGCCGAAGGCCCGCGCCCGTAGGCCGTGTACGACTAACCCTAGCCGCCCCTTTCCCCTTCCCTCCTTGTGTTTTTAGTAGGTGGAGTAATCATGGGCTCCTTCCTTATTCCTTGGAGATGACTTTGGCAAATATCAATTTGGGATTTTTCCCATATCTTTCTTTCTTCCTCCTCAAGTATCTCTCTCTCTCCCTCTCGCACGGTTTAAGAAAAAGAGAAGATTCTTCTTCCCCGAACCATCATCGCGATAATCATCATCGGTCGCCATCCCTCGCGGAGCCGCCGCCAACAAGTCCGACGACCCTTCTCCCGGCGGACTCCGTTTTCTACTCCTTCGTGGGTCCGCATCCGACACCTCTCGCGGCCAGCAACTCCAGGCGGGAAGTTCCTCTCACGAGCAGGCCGTCTCCGTCGACCTCGAGCCGCTGCCCCGCCATCCTCGCGCTTTCAGGCCATCGCGGGCACCTTCGCTAGCCACCGAGGCCGCGACACCGTCGTCCCAGTACGCCGGCCCTGAGAGGGCTGCCCTCCTCAACCCTCACCGGACCACGAACAGGCCCGACGATCGTCTCGCCTTTCCTTTCGTGAGTTCGCCGACGATTTCCGCCGTGTACCACCATCATCATCCAGCGAGTACACGCAACGAGTTTCCATCCGCAATCTCCGTTCCCTTGCTCGTGAGTTGTTTCCCCGACAATCGCCTCAGCCCGACGTGTGCTTTCGTGAACCAACAGCGGACCGAGGCCGAGTGTGAACCGCCCGAGGTTCGTGGGTCTTATCGTTCGGGCCCCACCCTAAGGGCCTAAACGTCTCTCTTTCCGTTGGATCGGGACCTCGTGTCCGGAATGTATTGTAATAGTTCGAGGGCCGGGTCGAGCTCGGAGGCCCTCAGCCTCGAGGGTTTCATGTCGGATATAGATCG